GGAGGCTGAGACAGCGTCCGCGGTCGGTCCGTCTCTGCAGATGAGAAAGCCGGGCCCCGTGATGAGATCCTCCCTCCGGCAGCTCTGCGATTCTCAGTGACTCGCCCGTCACGCCCCAAACCAGAAAGGCACCGTGGACTTGAAGTTTGTCTTTAATTATATTTAAATCACAAGGCTTAACGGGATGTATTGACATTTATCCCAGGAAAGTAATTGGCATTCTTGTAGCCTCAGACAGAGGGTTAACTCTGCCGCTCGGACCCGCAGCCCTGGAAGGCCGGAGCGCAGGGCCAGCCGCTCGGAGGCGGCGGCGGCGGCTCGTCCGGCCGAGGACGGGACCCGCTCCCTCCGACCGGGACTCGCTGGATACATATTTGAATTATGTTTCACTGCGGAAGAATTAAGCATCCGAACCTCCCTGGGCTTTCATCTGTCACGTCGGATGGGAGTCGAGAAAACCATTAGCAGAGTTAGCAATTATCACCACTTCAATTAGTCATCGTGTTTGCATTTCCAAACGAGTGTGGAGCCCTTCTGCCCGCAGTGCGGGGGCTCACTGGGGAGACCCGGGGGGACTAGCTGGCTCGGGGAGACCCGGGGGGGACTAGCTGGCTCGGGGAGACCGCGGGGGGACCTGCTCGCTCGGGGAGACCCGGGGGGACTAGCTGGCTCGGGGAGACCGCGGGGGGACCTGCTCGCTCGGGGAGACCCGGGGGGACTAGCTGGCTCGGGGAGACCGCGGGGGGACCTGCTCGCTCGGGGAGACCTGGGGGGGGGACTAGCTGGCTCGGGGAGACCTCAGGGGGACCAGCTTGCTGGGGAGACCCGGGGGGGGGGACTAGCTGGCTCGGGGAGACCTCAGGGGGACCAGCTTGCTGGGGAGACCCGGGGGGGGGGACTAGCTGGCTCGGGGAGACCTCAGGGGGACCAGCTCGCTGGGGAGACCCGGGGGGACCTGCTCGCTCGGGGAGACCCAGGGGAGGGACTAGCTGGCTCAGGGAGACCTCAGGGGGACCAGCTCTCTGGGGAGACCCGGGGGGACTAGCTGGCTCGGGGAGACCTCAGGGGGACCAGCTCGCTGGGGAGACCGCGGGGGGACCTGCTCGCTCGGGGAGACCCGGGGGGGGGGGACTAGCTGGCTCGGGGAGACCACAGGGGGACCAGCTTGCTGGGGAGACCCGGGGGGGACTAGCTGGCTCGGGGAGACCGCAGGGGGCCGGCTTGCTCAGGGAGACCCAGGGGGGACTAGCTCGCTCGGGGAGACCCGGGGGCCACGGCTGGCGCCCGGGGCTGTGCACAACCCGAGGGCCGGGCACTGGGGCCAGCACAGGGCTCCTCTCCGGCCACTGCTCCGGCCGGGCTGCGGGCAGACGTGGCGAAGAGGGAGCCCGATGGACAGCTGCTCGCGGAGCCTTGTCCTCTGAGGATGATAAACGTGAGGGCGGGCACCCCGGTCCCAGACGTCTAGAGAGAGGTTTTTAAACGTTGAGTTTGGAGAGAGAGGAAGCGGAGGGGGGGAGGGCGGGAGGGAGACTTGGACTTGTGTTCTCCTCACCTGTGCATCCTGGTTGATCCCTGGACACGCCCTGGCCGGGGGTCGAACCCGCAACCTTGGTGTATGCTCTGCACCAGAACGATGCTCCAACCAACTGGGCCGCCAGGCCAGGGCCCAGAGGAGACTTTTTATTGTTGTTGTTAATCCTCACCCCAGAATCTTTTTCCATTAATTTTTAGATAGAGTGGGGGTGGGGAGAAGGAGAGACACGTTAATTGGTTGCCTCCCACACGACCCCGACCAGGGCCGGGGATCAAACTGGCAACCCAGCTACATGCCCTTGACCATGAATCGAACCTGAGACCCTTCAGTCTACCAGCTGACGTTCTAACCACTGAGCAAACTGGCCAGGGCCGGAGGGGACATTTTTAGTGACAAACCCTCCGGTCATGTCTGAGGGGAAGTGGCAGCCAGACCGCTGTCCGTCCGGTGGGGCGGAGGCAGGAGCTGCCCGCAGAGCCGGACCCTTCTCCAGCCCCCCAGGAGACACGCAGGGGCCGACCCACGAGGCTGCTTTGCCCGCCGCCTCGCCAACCCCAGCGCGACCGGAGCCTGGGCTGCGCCACGTCACAGCTCCGGTGCCGTCTGCGGGGCCGAGCGGAGAGCCCGTGGCCTCGGTGCTGCTGGTGCGGACCGAGCGGTGGGGAGCAGCCTGCAGCCCGGCTGGGGCGCCGATGCATCTGCAGCACACAAATCGCTTTCATTTTAAAGTCAAAAATCTCCCAACAGAAAGAAATATTTAAAAAATGCAGCAGCTATGCGGGTCCCAGTGACTCCGCCGAAGGATTCGTCAGGCGTGGAACCGGAAGGGTTTAGCTTTGTTTTCCTCCAGCCTCTGCCTGCGGCCGGGCGGAGACGTTCCCACGGGTGGGTGGGGTGCGGGCGGACGTTCCCCTCGAAACAGACTTGTGCCTTTTCCCCTGTTCCTGCACGAAGACGTTTTGCGTCTCCTGCGTCTCCTGCGTCTCCGCCCCTCCCACGTCCGTGTCCCTGGCACGGAGACGCCGGAACCCCTGTCACAGAGGACAACGCCCACTCTTGTGAAGACCACGGGTCAGTCTGTGCGAAGCAGAGGCCGAGGGGCATCGTGTTACAAAGGAGGGGGGATCGGGAAGGACCGACGTGCTCATTCGCGGTGACGACCACCAAAGCCACGTGTCACAGAAACACGGTCAACACCTCACACGGGGCTCACTCGAACCCGGAACCCGCACACTTCCAATAAAGTCTGCACCAGCCAAGTGGACATTGCTGTACAAGGTGGTTTGAGACGTGCCTGCCTCGGGGTCTCCTGCCACGTCCGGAAGCTCCACGGCGTGTCAGGAACCGATGTGGAGCAGGAGACGTGGACATCCGCCGTTCACGGGAAAATGAGCCACGTGGGCGGGGACCCTGTGACACTGGACACTCCAGAGCTGAGCGTCCGAGATGCACGTTAACGCGTAGCCGCCTGGACGGAGATCCGTTTGGACAGGGAAACCGGCACCTTGTGGGTCCGCAGAGAGTGTGGTCGCCCTGCAGCCGCGGGTGGGCGCGGGCGCCGGCGTGTGTGTTGGGGTGAGCTGGCGGAGCGGCGGGGGGGGGGAGGGGCAGAGCGTGGAATTCCGTTCCCAGCGTGGGCTTTTCCAGATGGCGCACTAGAAACACGGGCAGCGTTTCTGGGAACGGAAGCAAAGCCAGCAAGAGGGCGAATCTGGCGTCTGAGTGGCCGCGCCCTGGGGGAGCGGTTGGAGCTCACTCCACACACCTGGGCACATCCCCGCGGGCCGTTGGGACGAGAGTCCTCTATTCCTGGATAGTGAGCCACACGGGGCGGCGGCAGCCCCACCCCGGGGCCCCTCCTCTCCCCTCTGGTTCCCGGGGCGTCAGCCTCCCTTGACCTCTCCGGAACTTTCTGGGGGTTCCTGAGCTCCGGGGCCGCGCTGCCCACAGCAAAGAGCCCGAGAGTCTGCGCCCTTGAGGAGGCCGCTGCTGATGGTGCCTCGGGGTGAACGCCCAGCGCCCTGGCCCCAGGGGTCAAAGTCAGGGACACTCACACTGCAGCCTCCCCGGGGACGGGGTGGAGGCCACCCCCACGTTCGCTCCTCGGATCCCCCCAGAGCTGGGAGCCTCTTCCTCAGGTGCAAAGCTCTAGCAGAAGGCACTGCATCGACCGAATGGCTCTCCACGGGAGGACCCCAGAGGACCGGCCGAGCCTGGTCCGAGCCCCCCTCAGAACCGCTGACAGACCCTGCGAGCTAAGCGTCGCTCAGGAAAGACGTGTTCGGGCACAGCGGCGGGATGTGTCCTTCCCGAAGGTGGCTCTGGTCCCCGGTGAAGAAGTCCCTCCCGGGTTGCTGGGTGTCCCTGAGGTCCTGCCGAGGAGGAGAGTGGGGTCGCGCCCTCACAGGCAGGAGTCCCCGCCGGCGGGGTCCCACGGGGCCCGAGGTGGCCTGGAGCCCCTTGACGCGCTGGGACACCCACAGCGCGCTGGGACAGCCGGAGAAGGGCCGTCTCATTTCACAAACAGGAGCGTGACCCTGGTAAATTCCAGACAGAAGTCCGCATGGCGCCTCGTCCCAGGGGTCCCGTGCTCCCCGAAAGGCTGCTTCCAGGCTCCAAAGACACAGGCGTCTAAGGATGGAAGCGGACTCATCCCCAGCTCCCACCCCGGCCAGTATTTCTCGTCGAGCTGAGCATCTTCCCTTCAGAAGCCGAGGGGGGGAGTGTCTTGTGGGAGCTCGGGGGGGGGGGCTTCCCACCCACGGCTCAGGGCTCGTTGCAGCTCCTCCAGCCCGAGGGAGGGGGGACCCTGCCACGGGGGCTCCCTGGGGGCAATGCGGGTCCCACCTCTGTCCCTTGCTCTCCTCATCCCCTCCCCCCACTTTCGTTGCCGTCACCCCTCATTCTCCAGTGTTCCAGCTCATCCTTACTTTGAATGGGGAGCTCCTGGGCACCCCCACGTATCTCTGAGCTTCTTCATGATACCTTTGCGTGGGTTTCACGGTGCGATAAAGACGCTTCAGCACCTTGGTGTTGTCTGATGGCCAAACCGCGTCCTAAATGTCGGCGGGCGGCCACCGCTTCGCAGTCACACGAAACGTGGATCCTTAGAGACCGTCCGGTAGGTGGACGTTGCTTTGGCCACGGAGGCGTCGAAAGCGTGTCTGTAGCTGCCCCCACCCCGGTGGTTCTCACCGCAGGGTCTTCCCGTCCCCCCGAGGGTGTGCAGCCCGCTCGTCACACGAGCGTCGTGGCTGTGAAATTCCCCGGGGAGTCCAGCCTGGACCCACTTCCAGCGCGTGTTCCTGGGAGAGGCCAGAATGTCTGCAGACTCGTAACTGTCACCACTACGCCCGTTCCCAAGCAGCGTCTGGCTTCTTTCCCGCGCGCGTGGCTCCGTGGCTCCATGGCTCCCGCGCAGGGTCCGCGCACCCGACACTCACGACTGTCCTCTCCTCTCCAGGGCCGACGGCGCCTCCGATGAGGTCATGCAGATCGACGTGGAGATCGAAGAGCCCAGCGACCCGCCGGCCACACAGCTGGTCACGTGGCAGGTCGAGTATCCAGGGGACGTCACGTCGGACCTGGGCATCTCCAAGATCTACGTCAGCCAGAAGGACTTGATCGGCGTCATCCCACTGGCCATGGTAGGAACGTCCCTGTCCTGGGCGGTCAGGAAGGACTCGGGGACCGAGCAGGGCGTCCACTGCGTCCCAGACGTGACGGGGGGTGTCAGTGGGAACCGGGGCGGAACCATGGCACCGACTGCAAATCACTGATTCCGTCAGTTACCTCACGCTGAAGTACAGGAGCAGCACGTGGTTTAGCAAACGAACTTGAGGTATTAGATCGGGGTCTCGGGTTACGTGGAAAGTGTCGATGATGCGGTGACTGTGTCATCGGTGGTCTGCGTAGGGCCCTCCCACACGCACCTGCAGAGACTGAGCGGATCGAGGGACGGGCCATCGGGGTCACACTGGAGGTCTCCTCACACGTGACACACGCGACTCAGCTCTGCGCCCCCCCCCCCATGCCACCTCCTCCAAGGGTGCCTCCTTTCTCTCCGTAGCCAGATGGGGTGCTTGCTGGCCCTCCGCTCTGTCCCCCGTTCTGCCCCTGTGCACAGTGAGACGGGTGGCGAGTTGGGGTTCAGTCTTGTCAACGTGGCAGGTTGAGAGGACCAGTGGAAACCACGACAGGCAGGAGCCACATCCCTCACACCCCCACATGCTCCCTGTCTCCTCTTTCTGTCTGAACCCCACCTCCACCCCTGCCTCCACGCCCCTTCCGGACGCCAGCACACCGCCCGCCCACCGCGTGGTCCCCAGGGAGGGTCTCTGTGACGCGGACGCCGCAGGGAGCTGGGGCTCAGCCTTCGCCAGGCTGAGTGCGGGGTCCCCCCGGGCCGCTCGGGCCGCGGAGACCACAGGCAGCACATCACCTGTCTACTCTGGTCTATTCTGATCCTCTCGCTCACGGGCCGAGCTCCCGAACCTCCGACGCAGCGGATCTCCGTCTGTGCCGGCCCAGCAGACGAAACGCACCCGCAGCGCTACGGCCGTGCAGTCCGCTCGTGAAAAGCTTCGGGTGGAATGCGTGTAGATCAGGCTCCGCAGTCGGATGCGTGTCTCTGCCTCTGTGCAAGGGGCTTGCCTTCCAGCGGCCGCAGCCTGGCCTCCTGGCCGGCGTCACGCCCGCCCCTCCGTGCCGGCCACCCGGCCCGGCCTCGTGTGCACCCAGGCAGGGGCACAGGCCACGCGTGAGTGCCGGAGGGCAGTCTGCTACCCAGTGGGTGCATTGGGGTCCGAGAGGGGGCAGCGCCGGGCCGTGCACCTCCCATCAGGGGTGCGGTTGGCCCGGGCGACGCACCGCCCCAGCCCCCACGGAGATCAGACGTGAGAGGCCCCAGACGGGGGAGGAAGCCGTCTTTCCTGCTCCCATAAGGGGACCCCTTCTATCTGGGCCACGAGCAGCTTCTGGGCTCTTGTTTACTTGACTTTTCACGGCGACCCCCCCACCAGCCTGCTCAGGAACACGCCAGACACCCTGTGTGTGCGCCGGGCTTCGAGACCGCGTCACGCCACGGAGCACGCCACGGAGCACGCCACAGAGCACGCCACGGAGCACGCCACACTTCCCTTTCAGACCTTCGCTGCGCGTGCCCGTGAGCGGCCCTGACAAAGTCTCGCTCCGTGTGTGGTGGCCACCCGGGCTCCCCGGGCCGCTCCAGAGCTCCGCCGCGCTCGCGGGTGGGGTGCCGGGTGCGCCTGTCTGTGCCCCTGGGTACGGGGACGCTTTGCATTCCCACGGGGACCCAGCGGCTGGTGCGGCTCGGCCATGGCACAGGTGAGGGAGGAGCCGGTCAGGGCTGGGCTGGAGCTGGACCCCAGACGCAGGGGCCCCGGGGTTCGGGCCCACAGCCAGTCCGTCGACCGTGGAGACAGGCCGCTGACCCGTCGGTGTGCAGAAGGGCCTAGAAAACCAAGTGCAAGAAGCCACGCTCGTGAACACACTGGCTGGACACGGCCTCCTGCGATGGCGCGTCATCGGACGTAACTGTGTCTTGTGACAGCCCTGCCTTGCCGGCTCGGCCCTCGGCCGCCCTGGTGTCCCCAAGGAGCCGCCTCCCCGGGGGGCAGCAGTGTGACGGGGCCTCCTGCCTCTGTTCGTCCTGCGGCCTCAGCCGGCGGGTGAGCGGATCCTCGGGGCATGACCACTGCGGGCACCATGGAAGGGCAGCTGGTCTGCGGACCCTGCACCCCCACCACGAGCTGGCTCCCGTCCTCGGTGCCGAGGGGCCACGGAGCTCATGCCCACGGAGGAGAAATGGTTGAGCGAGGTCCATTCAGAAGGGGCTCAGGCCGGGAGAGAGAAAACAAGGCGCTGTGAAGGGGAGACTGCGGTGAGGTCTCAGAGCGGGGGCGCCCCGCGGCGTAACGTTGAGCCCAGACAGGCCAGGAAGGGTCCCACAGATGACCGGATGTAAGCAACGAGGTGCCGGCCCAGAGTGGGGCCAGCTGGTGAGCGTGGGAACGGGGGTGCCCAGGGCAGGGCGTGGCACTAGTGCCCTCAACCGTGGTAGATGCGCTGGGGATCTGATGCCTCGTGGTCAGTGTTTAGTCCCATCCCCCACCCCTCCCCTCTGGCAGCCATCGCTTTGTTCTCTGTATCTGTGGGTCTGTTTTTGTTCTGTTTATTTATTTAGTTTTTAAAGATTCCACATCTTAGTGAGATCGTGAGATGTTTGTCTCTGTCTGACTTATTTTACTTAGACGAATACCCCTAGTTCCATCCACGCGGTCTCAAATGGCAAGACCGTCCTTTTTTCTGGCTGAGTAATATTCCATCCGTACCACTTCCTTATTTTTCAATGTGTTTATTGTCGAGAGTGTGACAGATGTCCCCAGTTCCCCCTTCGCCCGGACCCCGCCCCACCCCAGGCCTTCACCCCCGTTGTCTGTGTCCGCGGGTTACGCGTATGTGCGTGTAAGTCCTTTGGTTACTCTCCCAGCCCTGTCCGCTTTCCTTCGAAATTCGTCTGTCAGTCCCCTGCTGCCGTGTCCCCAGGTCTGTTTTGTTCGTCGGTTTATTTTCATTAGATCCCACGGCTAAGCGAGACCACGTGGTGTGTGTGTTTCTCTGGCTTCTGCTCAGCGTTATGTTACCAGGCGCCTGTCGGCAGACACCTGGGTTACTTCCGGGTTGGCCGCTGTAAGCAAGGCTGCCGCCCTCACGGGGTGCACGCATCTCTCCAGATCGTGTTCTTGTTCTCGTCAGATAAACACCTCAAGCGGGTTGTTGGCCGGCACCAGCTGCGTTTTTCGTCTTTTGCGCAAACTGCGGTTCTCCGGGCTGCGTCCCCAGTGGCGGGGCACGGGGTGGCCTTCACCCCGCGTCCTGGCAGCAGGTGATGCTCGGTGTATGGGTGGTGCCTCATTGTGGTTTTAGTAGAATCTCCCCGGGGACCAGCGATGTTGAGCCTGTTTCCGTAGGTCTGTCGGCCGTCTGTCTGTCACGATCTGTTCTTACAATGTCACTCCGGGCAGCAAGAGGGACACAGGTGTGTGGACACAGGACCACCAGTGGGGGCTCCGAGGGTCCAGGCGGGTCGGCTGCAGCTCAGACTACGTGACGACGTCAACCTTGAAGACCAGCGGAAGGTCAGGGGTGTCCCAGGAACGGCTGTGGATGTGCCGTACGTCCTGTGACCACTGCCCCGAGCCCCCGGCTAATCCTGAGGCCGGCGGTGGGCTTTCTGCTCGTGTGGAATGGTGATGGGCGAGGGTGACCGGTGGTGGAGCGTCGGCCGGCCAGGTGCCCGCCGTTGGGTGCCCGGCAGGTGCCCGTCGTCCCTGCTGTTTACGGAATCGTAGCCTCTCCGGGGCATGTTCCAGTTTCCCTTGAATCCTCTCGGAACTTTCTGGAATCTCTCTGCGGTCACACGCTCAGCCGCGTCCCAGCGTGCGTGGTCCTCTGAGGATGTCCCCTCGCTGCGTCTGCAGCGCTCACCTTGCTCCGGAGAGGAAGCGGCCGTCTGCGCTCTGGCCGTGACACCCCGCGTCTCCGGGCCCCCGTTCTCGGCTGCCTCCTAGGGGCTCCCAGTCCCACCCTGTCCTCGGCCGCAGGACTCTCCGGGCCAGGCTGCCACCTGCCTGTGGCTCCGGGTAAAGGCCGCAGTGGCCTGAGCAGGGGGTGCCTGACCTTGCGTTTCTCTGCTCATCTCTGCGTCCGCTTCCCCGAGTCAGCATTTCCCAGCGGTGACCCTGCAGCCGGCGCCTGCGCTTTGGGGAAGCCCTGGAACCCATCCCCGGGGCTCGTGGGGACGGAAACAGCTCACCGCTGCTCACACCTCTGAGTCCCAACCGCCCCAGCTGGGGTCCTGCTGGCCCGTGAGAGCCACGGAACACGAGTCCCTGAAAACCTTTCACCCCACCCACAATAAGGAGTTAATTCAGGTCCCAAAGCTCACGGACGACCCCCAAGCCCCTTCTGGGCACATAGGTCACCCTAGTCTGGGACCCGGGGCGTGGGGGTTCCCTGAGATGCTCTGTGGACCCCACCAGTGTTGTCACCTCTCGGGCCATCCTCTCCCTGGAGACCCCCAGAGCTGTCTTCAGGAAGCAGGGAACAGGGGCACCTCTGCTCTGGGGTCCCGTCTCCCCTCGGCTTGTTCTGGGAAGCAGAGGCCCGGGGCTCTGGGGCCCACCAGCACCCCATTGTCCACGGCCTGGCTTCCCTCGTTCAGGCTGAGGAAGCACATTCGGGAAGTTAGGGGCCTTTGCTGCCGCTCGCGGAGCATTTCCTCGAATCCCAACGTTGGCTGTGTCTCTGCGGTTCGTTTCTCGGGGTGACGCTGGCCGATGACGGTTACGAAGTTCAGGTGTGCCGTTCGGTGGCGTGTCGTCTGTGTATCGCCAGCGAGACCGGCAGGGCCACCTGCTCCCTGGGGGCAGCTGCCCCTGCCCGTCCGCGACCCCACGCCACAGTTGCCGCGGTATGCAGGCTCTGTCTCCTGGCGAAAGCCTCGCTCTGTGCCCTTCATGCGAAACCTCCTGACGTCTCGAGGCTGCTGAGTGATTCTGGCTTTCCCAACAGCAGGTCAGCGGCCAGGCCTGCTCCATCCAGCTCCCCCCGTCCAGCTCCCCCC